GTGGTTCCAGAGCCTGACCCCTTAACCAATATCATTTAATCTGTGGGTGAACCTAGTCCCTGCCCTTGGGTTCATCATCCATTCATGTAGTCATTAAGCATTTATTGAGGACCTACTCTGCCAAGCGCTTTCCATCATTTCATTGCAAATTTATATCACCTACAGGGTAGGTATTTTTGTCATCCCCATTTTACCAATGAGGCAAGTGATGTTCAGAGAGGTTAAGAAAGTCCACAAAGACACATAGCTGTCAGGTTGTTCAGCAGACCTGGAGGATACAGTGCTTGGCCTTTAGAAGGTGGTGTGGGCTGAAATGTATTGGACGTGGTATGCCCAGCCAGGAAGCTTGGGCTCTGCCCTGCTCACAGATAGTGTCTCCATTTGGGAGAGGAGGCAGTGTAACCTTAGTGGGCTGAAGTGACCTTCCCAGAGTCACCTAAGCAAAAAGTGGACTCAAACCCAGCCTTCCTGGCCCCATCTGGATGCTGTCTGCAGGGGAAGGGGTTTTAAGCAGAGAAGGGCTGTGATCAGCTTGTGGGCATGCAGGAGTGAGTCCAGGGGCAGGGTGACCAGGGAGAAAGTTAAGGCCTCTAAGCTCACCCATACTGACAGTTGACTGTGTGTCTGGCCCTTCTGATTAGTCCTTCTAGTGCCCTATGAAATATAGACTCTTATCAGCTCCATTTTATAAACATAGAAACTGAGGCATGGAGAGAATATAGAACCTTCCGAGGTCACCCAGTTAGTAAGTAGCCAAGCCAGGATTTGAGCCTGGGTTCTTAAGGCCCCATAATCCATTGCTCCAGTTTTTATTTAAAAGTCTACATCCCCCTGGGTATATTCTTCACAGCTCCAGTAAGTTGGCAGAAAACAGATTATCTCAGGGTCAGGCCAGGGCTGGGCGCTAGACTCTGAGGTGAATCAACACAGCCCTGCCCTCAAGCTGCTCCAGGCAGGATAAGCCAGGCCTTCTGCAAACTCTTAGCCATCTGAAAGGCCAAGAAGAGGAAAGCACAGATTCCGGGGTCAGAGAGTGCTGGGCTCTAGTTCTGGTCCTGCTACTTTTGGCTGTGTGGCCTTGAACAAATTGCTTTACCTCTCTGAGCCTCCCAGCAGGCTCTGTAGAACGTAGGTGATAATAGCTGCCACCCTGCAGGAGGAGGTAAAGAGTAACTGAAACAAGTTATAGGGTCTGAGAGGCAGCTCCTTAACCCTTCACTTCCTATTTTGCTATGAGGATTGTGATGAGGATTAAATAAATCAGAGCCTAAAACATTCAGTCAAACTGTTCTCTGCCTGTATGACTGTGGCCAAGCTATCTACACTCTGTTTAACCATCTATAAAATGGGCATGTTGACAGTACTACCTCCTAGGTAGTTATTGCGTAGTTAACACATCTATTGCAAGGTTTAGAACACAGCTGGCACTCAGTAAATGTTAGCTATTATTGTGTCATAATTATTGTAATTGCACAGTGAATGCAAGTTATTGGGATCTCAAATTGATTTCAATTCAGCCCTTGCCTCAGGCTCTGTCTCATGCCCATGGCATATGTTTCAGAGCATCTAAAACTAGGTCCCTATGTTATAAGAAAGTTGAGTTCAGGGCATCCATGACCCCAGCCTCCAGCAGAGCTGCCTCCCTTGGATGTCAGAAAAATGTCAGCCCTTGACATTTTAAGATGGCTGGCCTGGGACCCATCCGTCTGAACATTATTGATGTGTTTTAGGGCAAATTCAGTTCTTTCCACTTAGCCTCACTGTGTATCACAGATGAGCTCCCATTGGAGTCAGCTCCAGGACCAAGTGTGTATCTGCGAGCACCATGAGATGAGCCTTCTTTCCCTTTTTGCCTTGGCTGCCGGGTATACCTGCCAGACTTTCTACCATGTAAAAGTGCCTTGCTCGTTTGGGACAGTGCAGCATGAGCACAGGTTTTGAAGCCTGAGAATTCAGACATGTAGCTCCTCTGCTCACTGCTGTGTCACCTCAGGCAAGTGGCTTCATCACTCTGAGCCTGTTTTCTCCTCTGTAAAAAGAGAGCTGAGAACTCTCTGAGTTCCACCTCCTTTTGCCTGTTGAACTTGGCAGCTCCTTTCTACCTCTGAGCTTAACTTTCCTCTCCTGCAAAATGGGAATTGTGTTAATGACCATGCTGCCAGATTGTGATAAGGATCACTCAAAGGGCACAGCCTGGTGCCCACTATGTGGTTGGCAGTTTGTGACCAATAACTGAAAAGTAATGCTTTTGCGGGTGAAGACTTGCTGGGTTTGGAAATCTATATGCAGGTTTTGCATTAAAGCAGAGCCTTCCTGTGGCAATTTTTGAAACCTAGCTTTGTGGTTTGACTCCAGCCTGGATATCAGCTCTTTGGTTGTGGGGAGGAGGTTCACCAAACATCCTAGAGGATGGAATCATGTCAGCCAGGTGTCCACAGAGGACATAGCCCCTCCTCCAGCTCAACATGTGCTCTTTTTACAAGGTGCACCTGACTGCCTGCTCCTGCATGGGGCAGGGCCTGCTGGGGCATGCCCCCAGGGTTCTGTGCCAGGAATCCCAGTGGGACACTCCCACTACCTGGGAGGCTCTGCTGACACTGCACAAATGAGAGGCAGCCCCACCCACGGGCCCCTACAACCCATGTGCGGGTACTGGTGCCAAAAGAAGGTAGCAGAGTCCATGCAATTCTGGATGTGGTTGGTGGGGATGTTTGTGGGATGTGTGTGTGGGAGGAAGTAAAGTCCAGGAGCAGCTATGACTGGAGGCTGCTGTCCAGGTCCAAGACTGCTGTCACCCCGTGCCCTGTCCCTCAGGCCTTGTGGACCCTTGGGTCCACATCTCAACCTTTCTTAGCAGCTAAAGAGCCTTAAGCAAGTAACTGCACCTCTTTGAGGCTCAGTGACCTCGTTCAAAGAACAGGGATGACAGCACCTATCTCCTTTGGTGTAGCACGGCTGAGATCTTTGGGGAGGGAGAGAGTCAGATTCCATATCTGTGGGAATAGAGCCTCCCAGGCAGCAGGTGCTCAGGGCCCTTCCCTTCCTGCTGCCAGCCACAGTGTCTGGGCCCAGGCCCCTAATAAATGCAGGTAGAAGTTCCACACCATCTCAGATGGCCCTGCTTGGGAGCTAGTGGGAAGGGGTGAGATTGGGAGAGGCAACAAAAATAGGGACCCACATCCCAGGAGGTCAGCTTGGCATGCATGCAACAAAGACAGGGGTGTATCTCTGCAGTTCTTCCAGGGCCAGAAGATGCAAGACCAATAATTTACTCCTGTGGTCTCACGTGGTGTGAAGGGCTCAGTGGATTACTGGACTGGGAGGTTTAGTTTAAGAGCCATGTGATGCAGGAAGCCCCTCCACAATAACCTTCCCAGGGAGTCACATGGTTTCTGTTTGCACACCTCCTGTGACAGGAATCTCCTCCTCCCCCTGTGCCACCTGCACCATCTTTGTGGAGCAGCTTTGTCTTTCTCGAGTGTGGTACCCAGAGCCAAAGAGACCTCTGGAATGGGGTAATCAACAAGCAGCAGAGCAGCAAGCCCCTCTTTTGTCCTAAAGTCTCTTAATGCATCCCTATTTTCTGTTTGTTTATTTCTCCCCCAACATATCACTATGGATCATATCAGGGTCTAGTCTACCACCAACTGAAACACGTTCCTTCAGTTCTTTCCTTCCTCTTCCTTCTTCCCTCTCTCTCCTCTTCCTTCTTCCTTTCCTCCTTCATTCCCTCTTTCCTAATTTTCTCCCAGCCCAGAGCAATGCATCTTTGCAGTCCATTTATTCAAACGTGTATTAAGTACATGTCTGTTCTGGGCACTGGGGTTTCATATATGAACACAGCCTGAAAGCTGCGTACTGGGGCTTCTCTTCCAGCAGTGGAGAAGAGGAAAAAGTAACAGCTACAACATCCACCCAGGGCCAGAACAAAGTGCAGAGGGACCTCAGAGAGTGAGCAAGTACTGTAGATGCCCCAATTTAAGGCAATCCCTGCCATCCACAGGAGAGAAGATGCACAATGAAGTTAAAAATATAAACTTTAAGGGGTGAAGATGAGTTAGACGTTGACCCATAAGATTTATTTTAAGTATATACATTGGGCATGGACTAGCAAGCCTCAGTGCCCACTGAGTGTGACCCAGGTGTCTGCACATGAGAGGTGCTCAGAAAATCCCTGTGGGGTGAATGAATGAAGAATGAAGAATGCCTGTTACTGCCTCTGCCAGAAACATTCTGCCCACCTCTTCCTAAGGCTGATTCCTTCCGGTTGAGATGGAACTTACATGTCACAACCCACTCTGCCTAAGCCCTTTCCAAACAGTGTCACCCATCACTATCTTATTTTCTTCCTGGTTTTGATCCCTATGTTGTGTGATCTGAATTGCTTGCTGTTTCTGTCTTCATCACTAGCATGACATCTCCAAGAGAGCAGGAACTTGTCTGTATCGACGCGGCCCAGAGCAGTGCCTGGCACATAGGTTGTGCTTAATTCACATTTTAATGAACAAGTGAGTGAATTAATGAACTTAGGTTCCCTCCTCCCGATCTTAGGATATCACCTAGGTTTCTCCTACTTGTGTAGCCCTGGGAGGTATAAAAAAGACGCCACCCCCACTGCAGGCACCCTTTACACTGTCCCATGTGCCCTCTGCCTCTCCCACCCTAATACTAGCCCATGGCTAGGACTTGGCCGGCTGGGATCCAGCGAATGGAAGAGGGCCTGGCACACAGTAGGTGTTGGAATAAATAAGCGAAAGGCCAGCAAGCTACCGAACCCGGCACCCCGAGGGCATCCGGCTGCGCTGCGCGCGCGGGAGCCGCGAGGGCGGGAGGCTCTGCTGTGCCTCTCCCGCCACCCGGTGCAAACTTTCAAAAGATGCGGCGGCCGCGGCCCCGCCCCTGCACGGTTGGAGGCGGTGGGAGGCGGGGGCAGAGCCGGCGGGCCCGGACCGGTAGCTCCGCCTCCTCCAGCAGACGCCACCGCCTCTCTCCCGGCGCCCGCCCCAGCTGCCGCCCGCCCGCTAGTCTGTGCAGCGGCTATGCCCGGAGCCTCGACCCCAGCCCCGGTCCCCGGCCCGCCGCGTAATTAGCCTACGCGCGCCCAGAGCGCGCCGCCGCCAACGCCGCGCCCGGCGCGGAGATGGGCAACACGGTGCACAGGACCCTGCCAGGTACGCCGGGGAACCCTGCCCGGGAGGCGGGCTCTTGGCTTCTCCTCTCCTCCAAGGGACCCGCCGGGTGACTCTGTGAGCTACCCCACGCCCCTTGAAGCCCTCAGTGCAGAGGGGGCTAGAGTCTCGGGTGCCTCCTGGATCTCTGCTCTGCGCGCGCCCGGTGGCTGGGCTTTGCGCTCCGGGAGGGCGGGTACCGCGTCCTGGTTACCTTGGGGACCCCCGTCCTGGTTCTACCGGCTTTGGCCAGATGCGCAAAAGGGCGCTGGGGCGATGCCGCGCGCCCCCTCGCCTTTGTTTCTGCCCGAGGGCGTTGATAAGTGAATCCAGGGCGACCCAAGGGGTGACTGCAGCCAGACTCACTCGGGCTTCCGACGGGCACTGGCCGCCTGTTGTGCCGAAACTGCAGCTGCCGAGAGTCGGGGGTGCTCGCAGGAGTACCCCAGTTGCCAGCCTCCTTGCACCCCCGCGGCACATGCTTCCTTGCCTTGGCCGCGATCCCACGCGCACCCCGGCTGCGCCCGCCTCTGGTGTCCGTTCAACCGGAGGCTCCTTACCCCTCATGGAGCCGCTGCTGCAGAGTGCATCGCCCCCTAGTTAAAACCACCCCAGAATTTCCAAGACTAGAGTAAGGGGATCCGGAGGGTGTGAGGAGGCCTTACCGAAAAATACCTGGTAATTGTGGGACTATAGCAGGGCGCGCGCACGCGCGCGCACGGAGGCTTAGTGCCCAGCTCTTTGCTTACCCCAGCTCGGTATGCAAAGGAGCTTCGCGATGAAGATGTGTAACCCAATTTTACGAATGAAGAAATTGAGGCTCAAAGAAGGGGAAATGACTCACCCAAGGTCACACAGCTGGTAATGGGAAAATCTTAATGGGGTCCCGCGTCTGCCTGCCCGCCCTACCCTCACTCCCCCAAATCTTTAGAAGTATTTTGGCTTTAAGGCTGGGCCTTTCTAGCATCCTTAGCTCCAAAGGTGAGAAGGGTGTGTGTGTGTGTGTCTGTGTCTGTTTGTCTGTCTGTCTGTCTCTCTGTCTGTCTCTAAAGCACAAAGGCTCACTTTGTGGTAAAGCAAGTCAGCTGTGCGCAGATTTAGTGTGAGGCTTTAGAAGAGGGACATATCACCCTATCTCTGCTCTAACACTCTGACATAGCTCTCCCATCTAGAGAGATGTGCTTATCGAAAAATAATTGTTTCTTTCTCTGGAGGGGGCTGAAATAGATGGTGCTGAGCCCCAGATTCCTAAGCCAGCTTATGGAAGAAGAGCCAACTCCTACTTTCTAACCCTCTGGGACACTTTGGGGCAGCTGCCCTCAAACCTTAAAATTCTCAGAGAGGTAAAGTCACCAACAGAGAGTCAAGAGTCACCAACTAGTCAGTGGCAGAGATGGGATTGGAACCCAAGTCTGTTTGCTGAAGGGTGGACTCTACCTCCTGTGGCTATTACCCAGATGGAGGAGACCCTCCCTACCCGTCAGGAGGTATCCAGAGATGTTGGCAAATATGGCAGCAGACGTTTTCCTAGCTATAAAGATATTGGGCTGAGACCCCTTTGTTCAATTTCTTTTTTTTTTTTTATTAAATCATAGCTGTGTACATTAATGCAATCATGGAGTACAGTATCCTGGTTTTATATACAATTTGAAATTTATGCTGTTTTAGAAAAAAAAAAGCCATTCTGCCACCTGTGGGTCAGCCTTGGGATGGATAGAGGGGCAGACACACACCAGGCAGGCTAAATATAGCTAGAGATTTATGTAGTCTCCATTCCTTTCAGCCCTCGCTCTGTGGACTGGGCCACCCTAGGCTGGAAGCCTGGGGTTAAGGTTGGTTCCCACAGCAGTGAAACCAAGTATGGGAAATTCAAACTCTCCTCTGGAGCTTAAAGCTCACATTCAGTTTGAGGACAGGCACAGGACTGGAATTCCGAAGCCACATCAGGTGGCAGGTGCCAAGAATATAAAGGGCTGTTTGTTGTTTTGTGACTTGCCTATAATCAGTTCTTGCACACACTGTGCCACTGTTTACACCTCTGTGCCCAGTGTCAGTGTCCATCTTTTGAAATCCACCTCAGTTGTCACCTCTTCCAGGAAGCCTTCCCTGACCATCCACCGTTTCATCCTTTGCTCTGCTACTTGGATACCTCCTTAATAAGTCCCTGCTGTTCGTCTACCACATTGCATTGTCTTTGCCCATCTCTATGACTCTCCTCAGGGTCCCCTGAGGACAGAACTCATGTCTCAATCATCTTGTATCCCTGATTGCCCATCCCAGAGCCTGGTGCCTGGCAGGAGCTCAAAAGCCGGTGGTGGAGCTCAAATGTTGCCTGAATCTCAGACTGAAAGAACACTTGGCACAGTCTTGCCCTGTAGAATCCTTGTGCTTTCGCTCTCAGGAAAAGGACACATGCGTGGGGTTTGTTCTGGGGGACTTGAAATAGAGAGCTGGCATTTGCCGAGCACCTGGATGCTATGCCAGGCTTCCTGCATATGTGGCTTCGCTTACATGCCAAGCATGCTTCTCCTTTAAGCTCCTGCACTTGCTGATCCCTCTGTCTGGAACATTCTTCCCCCGACCTCCCTGTGGCTCCCTGCAGCCTCCTTCGGGTCTCTATTCCAGTGTGGGTCCTGCCACCGCCTTGGTCCCAGCCCTCCTGTCTTGCCCCTGCTCTATGTTTCTCCTTAGCATGTATGACTGCCTGACACGCTGGTGCCTGTCTGTCTCCTCAAGTAGGTTTTGTCTGTTTCCTTCACTGCTATATGTTCAGCACCTACAGCAGTGGCTAGTTCATAGTAAATGTTCGGTAAATACATGTTGAATGAATGAATGAATTCGATTCTTCCAACAGCCCTGCAATGTAGGGATTATCCCCTTTTTATACATGAGAAACCAAGAATCAGAGGTAAAGTGGCTTAACCGACCCCACCCAGCTCATCCACTTGGCAGAACCAGGATTATTTAGCTCCAAAGTCCTGGATTCTTCCTCTGACATGAAGTATCCTCCCAACCTATGATTGAGATAACATTTATTGGGTGCCCATTGTGCACATGGCATGTCACACTACACAATAAGGAAATGCCATTCTTTATGATGGGTTGCCAGGAGGACCCATAGCAGCTCTGGAAAAGTACATCAGTGTATTCAGACGAATGCCCTTTGAACAGAAGCGTGGGGAGGTCAGCACAGGACCTCAGATCTGCTAAGCTCCTACTGTGTGCTCTACCTGTTCTCTTTCCAGTTGCAAATCAATCTTGCAAAGTAAAGTGCCATTCTCCATTGTACAGATGAGGAGACTGAGGCACAGAGAGGCTAAGACACCCACCTGGCACACAGGCAGTGGCAAAGCTGGACTTAGAAGACAGATCTGATTCCCAGGGCCACAGGGTGCTCCTCTCTAACTCCATTTACCTAAATCTGGGTTTTGTAAGGGGGGAAAAAACGTGAACAGGTGGGAATAGGGAAGGACAACATTCCAGAATGAGGGTGAGGGGAAGGACTGTTCCCTTCCTCTCTCAATAGCACATTCCAACCCCTCTCCATGCCTGTGGGGCTCCCCCTAGTTCTGGTTGAAGAGGAGGCTAAATTCAAACTGCACGTTGGGTTTAATCATTAAGTTGGGCCATGTTTGAGCAGGCCAATGGCTTTTTAGTTAGCTCAATAACCGCGCGCTTTGGAGTGAGGAAAGCCTGTTGACCCTGTTCTGTGTCAAGCCCTGGGCCAAGGGTTTTTCCCACAAAATCTATTCTAAATCCTCATTAACAACCCTTTAGAGGGGCTATATTTGTTCCCATTTGACAGGGCAGCAAATGGAGGCTCAGCCAGGAAAAGGACAAAGGCACACATAGTCTTCCTAACCTGGATGGGCAGTGTGCAAATGCCATGACCAGATGAGGAAGCACCTGAGCCTACCCCAGACACTCAGGCACCTTCCCCTGCAGAGCCCCTTTTTCTGTTTGACTGGGGTAGAGAGCGCTGGGAGTGCAGCGGCTGCGGGGTTCAGCATTGCTACTCGCTGTCTTCCTGTCTGGGCCATGGATGATGATGCTCCCTGGATCTGGACTTTCTCAGCTCTTGGGAGGACAGTGACCTTTGTCATTCTCCTTCCAGCTGTACACATGGCTGACAAGTGATATTCCCCTTTCTCTTCCTGCCTCTCCTCCTACTTCACCTAGTTCTGATTTAAAGTTGAGCTGGGCTTTCTTTGCCTGTCTTGCCCCATCTGCTTCCTTTCCACCAGGTTGCTAAGAATCACTTTCAGAGCCTGTGCTGAGCCTCTCAGAGTGATAGTATTTCCTCTAATGGCCCTGAAACCTCTGTGGCTGTCAGCACACGGTGGGGAGCCTGACTAGCCAAGGCTCCTTGGTGGCAGCCTGCAGGGATCCTGGATCAGGAGTGGTAGGAACAGCGGGGTCTCATCCATCAGTGGAAGTGAGAAGGGGGGGGTGGGACCTTTCCAGTTTGCATGAACAGCGGAGAAGTTACTGGAGGTGAATTTGGAGCTGGAAGGAAGTTGGGCCTTCCTCTGTTTTTAACTTCTTCCTATCACCACCTGTGCTCCCTTCTCTCTGTCTCTCTCCTCTGGCTGTGGGATCCAAGGAAGGCTTCCTGGAGGAGGTGACATTTGAAGGGAAGTGCCATTGACATTCAGGTGGAGATGAGCCTACCCCACTGAAATGTCATCTCCTTCTGCCTGCCTTTAGGGCCTTCTGTGGCTCGGTCACCTTGTGCCACACCCCCAGGCTGGGGTGATCCTGGGGTCTGCCCTGCTCTGCATTTTCCAGAGTG